AATTTTCTTATTTGTTTTTTGCTATTCTGCCTTTTTTGTTGCAAATTTTATTTAGCACTTTGTTGTGGGGCTCTTAATGCTGTTAAATGCATTGCAATTTTTATCTGCTCTGAAGTTTTTCCCTCTCGACTACGTGATGTTGGCGCTTTGCATTTGTAGCTGGACTTGCATATCCTGAATGCCAGTACGACTACAGTCCGACTAGCTCCTGTCCCGTTGTGTTATCTTGTGGTTTTTATATCAAGCTGAGAATTTTCTCATTAATTTCAACGTTTTTCTGTTTGCTGCCCGCTGCCGTTGATGTGTTTTGTGGTTGTGGACAGTTGTCGGTCTCTGAGGCCATGTCCTGAGCCACGACGAGCCTCGTAAATGAGTATACGTTGTGGCACAGACAAAACTATTCACATTTAATAATATGTAAGTGCAACCAGTAGATATGCTGGACAACTATTTTGCCTCATATCAAATGAAAATTAAAATGGAACAAAGAGAGAGTTCACAGTCTACATGTGGCAGTCTCTTAAAGCTCTATAGTAGCTGGAATGATTCTTGGGTTAGCTTAAAGAATCGATACAAATTATCACAGATTTAATTACTTATTTATATTATAATTAATATCTTTATTCATTAAAAGGAGTTGTACTTTGCCCAGTTATATTATTTTAAAAAATATTAACAAAACCTGCGCCACACTTCCGATGAGCGCAAGAATCTTCTGCAATCAGAGGAAGTTCATACAAATTAGTGGATGGGTCTTGAAAAGAACAGAGAGAGGCAGAGAAGAGTTGGAATTGAAGTGGAAGACAAACAACAATTAAATGCACATAATGATAATGTTGTGCCGAAAAGTCATTTGGAGCTAACTAAATTACAACTTCCACTTTACATTACATGGCACGACAGCGGAACCTCAACCTCAAGCAACGACCTCAACTGCAACCGTCGACCTCGACCTCGGCCAAGGGGCCGTGCATCGTTGTGTAGAACGGAACTGGAAATCCACACAAATTAAAAGTCTGCGGCAGTTGCAAGTAAGAACAGATGGCTACTGCAACCTAATGAAAACAAACACTTCCACAACAACAATAAGAGCAACAACAACAGGAGCTGAAAAAAGAAAATTCGTGTCTAAACTCGATGCTGAAGCCGTTTTCAAGTTGGTTTTCGGCTTGGCTGACTGGCCGAAGTTCAATGCACAAGTTCATGAACTTGGAACTTGCAAAGGGTTTACGGGTCGCTCCACTGACTGCTGACAGAGCAGTTTATAATTAGAAACCCGTAAGGCGGCAAGAAGCAGAGCTGGAACACAGCTCAGAGACCGACAGTTTGACTTGTTCAAGTATCTGACAAAAAGTCAAGTGGATTTTGGCGGTAAAACTTGCATTACCTCAGACCCTCAAGAGTCGCTGCAATTCTCGCTATCCTTATCTCCCAGTCTCGTTCTCTCTCACTCTTGCTCTCGCTCTCTATCTATCTGTTACGTAAACCGACGTGCGTGGGATTTTCTGTTTACCCAAGGCACAGACCCAGACCGAAGCTGAAGATGGAGATGATGATGATGACGACAAGTGCGCACTGCTCCTTGCGATATTGACAGAAAACAAAGGCAAACAAATTGTCGGTGTGCAGTCGCGTATGTAAATAAAAGACAAGAAACCAACTTAAAGAAAATATAGCTGAGCCAGCACGAAAATTGAATACGCTTTCCAACCGAAAATAGCATAGTCAATTTTCTACTAATTTATATTAAAAATAAGCGACTATTCTCGAAATACATCTACATCTTCATAATGTTTAGGGGAATATCGTTATTATTCAGCTACTTTCTATCGTTAGAGTCAGCTTATTTTTAAAAATTTTCATATTATTATCTTTCAGGCAAATATCTTAAATATTCTCTGCATCTTTAGCCTCTTAATATTTTCAATTTATATCCCACAAGTCCAAACATATTGAGCACATCCCATTAATTAATGATTACTATCTATATCTTTCAGGAGAATATCATATATACGTAGGTCCTCTGTATCTTCAAGAAAAAATGTTTATGATTTCATTTTAAGACATAACAGACTAGTATAGATATATTGAAAATACTATCTTCATCTTTATAGCATATTACTTATAATAATTTCTAAAATATAAAAACTATTCTCGCAATATAAAACACATTGCTTCATTAATAATTCGCATCAGATAATCAAACGATCGTTCACCTACTAAGTATATGCATTTTTCTAAGATAACAGACTTTATTGGATTAACTAGACAGACATTTTTTTCCCACTTTCCGAGCTTTTGTACATTTTGCACTTCATATTCGATGTTCTCCACTCGCTAATAGGGCAAAAATAAGCACCGCACGGCAACTTATCAACGTTAAAATTAAAATCGGTTTAAGGAACAAAAACCCCCTCCCAAAAAAAAGAGAGATATACATAAATAGGAGGCGAGACAAACCGTTTTCAATTATAAAGAGGTGAGCGGCTTTATTGTTATTGTTTTCAGCAGCTCAAGCAATGTTTAATATTTAACAAAAATAAAGCCCAAACAACAGAACAAAACCAACAACAATTTTAACATACATATATGTGAGCGTGTGCGGGTTTGTGTGTTTGTTTATAGATAGATACGAGTGAGTATATGTACTTATATGAAGAACTGTGCGCTGAAGCCCCGAACCTGGCTTCCTTCGTGTGCCGTGCGCTTATGGTTAATCTTTTAAGTGTGCCGTGCTCCTACCCTACCCGACCTCTGCCCCCCTGCCCTGAACCCACAGACTCCACTGTCTGTGTTTATATTACGATTTAAAATTCTGTACACGCGCATTGCATTATATTTCCTATATATAAGGATACTCAGAGAATCGGATACTCTCGGTCGTCTGTCGTCAGTTTGGCCCCTATTTTCATATATGCAAATAAATACGAAATATAACGATTATCATATACAATGTGAAATAACCGTCGATGCTTTTCAAATAAATACGGTCCAAGTACAAGCCCTACCGCTTATCAAAATGTTGCGGCTATCGATAAGCAGAACGCATTGACAACTGCAAAGTGCGAAACTGCATTGCAATAAATTGCAGGAAATGCAATAAAAATATATTTATTTGTCATAAACTACAATAGTTTGCATTTGGCCCCTGCGGCGATTAAAAAGGCAGTCAGCATAGGAGTCACATAAAATTATGCATTGAAGGGCAAAAACAACTGTCCCTTAGACTTCAAAGACCAACGCCATTTGAATCCCTACTCACTGAAGGCATGGACTTCTATCTTTTTTGGACTCAAAACTTTCGGTATGCCTCGAAGTGAACATTGCAAGTGTCTCCGACAACATGAAACTGAACGCTCTCGCAATAATGCTGGCTAATATTTTTATCCTATGTGTCGACTTGGGCTATTACCAAGACAAACATCAGGGTTATAAATCCTTCGGTGCGGCCATCTGCATAATGCATTTCTATGCAGACCAAAAACAAGACCAACTAAAGCTTCATTTATCACATTTATCGCTGCAGGCAGCTCAGCTCAGGCCAAATGCAATGCAAAAATTCTATTACAAACCAACAGACCAAATGCTGCTCCGCCCGGGCTGGCGGCATGACCTGCAGGAAGCAACGCCGGCAGACCATTAAAAATTACAATGGCACCAGAGAGACAGTCGAGAATCTGGCATATCATGTGAGACTTGCGACATATGCGATAAATTTCCCGAAGAAAAGTGCCGAGCAAAAAGGCACTGCATCATTTTCCATTGTGCAGATAGCAAGAAAAACCCGATTATAATGCACATGTCGAGAGCAGTTCTTGAGTTTTATAGATTTTTTTTCCTTTCGCTGCAGTTTGTTACAATTTATCAACGTCCTCGAATTGCATATAAGCCGCGTCCATAAGGATCAATAAGGATAATACGAATATATGTCGCCACGTCGTGTAGGTAAACGGCGACTCTGCCAAATGTAATTATCGTTTATGCCGCAATGTGGCACGTTTCGAATATGGTTTAGACTCCGAATTGAATTGGGTTCGGGCTTTGCACTGAAATTGGAATTGGAATCAGGGGGAGTAGTCTTTAATTTGTCATGGTTTTCAGCTACACATGACTGTGTGTGTGCGTGCGTGTGTTTGAAGAGTGTTTTGTATTTGTGTTTGCGATGTGATAAGCACATGTTATGGTTTTTCACACTCACAATTGCTTAGTGCAGAAGGTGGGCGTGGGGCGGTATTGGGGTTCAGATTTTCGTGCTATCGATTTAGCCTTTTCGGCTTTCAGTTGCTGTTGCGGTCGTGTTGCAACATGTTTTGTGCTATCAGAATTATGATTAATTGATTGCCAAGCATTTCAGCATTTCAACAGTTATCAGGCAATACAGGAAGCCGTCGGAGGTCACGCCTTCGCAATTTGGGGCGGTTTCGTAGTGTCGGTCAACGCACTGCATCGCCTTCACGCCCACTCTCCCGCATTGAGAGTGCCAGCAGTTCCAGTGAAAAGCATTAAAAAGAATTCTTTCACTTGCCCCCACCGCCAGCTTCTGCTCCATTGACGACGAACAGCTGGAAGAGACTGGCGCAGCATCCACAACAGCCAACCGACGTAAATTTGGAACTGAATTGACAGCAATAATCAAACATAAGCAACATTTAATTGGCACTTGGAAACCATAACAACAAATGAGCAGAGTCTAAGCGAACGATCAATGCTCTTCAAATTGAAAACACGCAAAATAAAATATTTACGACAAATAAAGGCTTTCCTTAAGTTCTATAACATAGTTCTGCAGTCATATCACAAATATTAGGAAAATAGCATTGTAATTTTAGTATTTCATTGTTAAATTAAATTAAAAGCTCGAATTTTGTATTCTTGTTGCTAATAGGAAAGAATAATCTTATGAATAACTATATCAATTTAATTTAAATATGTACTTACCCGAAATATCCCGTAAACATGCGTAGTAATTTTTATTTATTATTATTTTAATATAAGATGTACCCCTATGAGCTGAGGGAGGCAAGCATTTATATATGTACATCACTGAAAGAAAAATTTAGAGAACAGATTAGAAAGATCAGGAGAAGAGAGAAAGAGCAAATGAGATGTAGAGAGTGAGTGAGAGAAAGAGAGGGAGAGACAAAAGGAAATGATTTAAGATTAACTTAAATCATGAGAATCGCAGAGAAGGGGTGTAAAGTAAGCCTGTTCTGCTTTTGGTGTAAGAGAACATACCAAGGGTATCCCGTTTTCCACTTGCAGAGAGTGAGGCAGAGTCCGCGGTTGTGGCTGTCACATGTGCGCTATGCAATCATTTAAATAGTTATTGCACTTTTCTTCCAGCACACATCCACTAACAGACACACGGCAATGCAATTAGTTTAAAAGGCCAAAAAGAGAGCAACGAACAGCTTGGGAAAAAGCGAGCTGAAGGCGAGGGAGAAGCTTGACAGGCTGACAGCACAACAAACATGCCAGCAGGAAAAACGAGAGCTACGAGCTACATGGAAAAATGTCAAAGCAAAAATGAAGCCATTAAATGAACGGCAAAAGTTGCCCCGAAATACCAAAAAAAAAAAAAATGAAGAAGAAATAAAGAAAAGCGGAGTAAAAGGGGGCCAACTGCAGCCAGTGCCAGTGGCAACACATTTAACACCCGCAAAAGCGTTGCCAGCGTGTTGGAAGTTGGGGGTCGAGGGCTCTGGGCAACACTCTTTGACTGGCTCAAACGTCATCGTCGTCGCCGCAGTCCGCATCATCATCATCATAGCCGGAGACGGCGACGGTGACGGTGACGCAGTCTCGTCTGCGTCGTAAACGTCAACATCTTTCACGTGTGTGATGGGAGGCGCGGAAAAGAGAAGAAAAAAATTGGTCCAGGAATAGTGAGCACGAAATGCCAGCATTAGGTTGAGGTTGAGTCGAAATTTTAATGGGCTACTACCATTGTGGTCAGGGCATTAAGTGCAGGTGGCAGTGTTTAAAGATGCCAGGGTCTCACCAGGATGCTAATGGGTGTGGCCAGCCATTTGTACTAATAGAATGTCGTGAAAAACCAGTTGAGACCAGGCTGTGTTAAGAGAAGCACAAGCCAATTATTTACAGGATGAGTGCTAATAATTCGCATATGGTTCAAGCGTGAAAATGTTGACGAAAAGCTTACTTATTAAATCGGGCACGATACAGGTTACAACAAAAAGCAACATTAATTTCAAATATAATTCCCAAAGTGTTTAAGCTTAAAATTGTTCAAATGTGAATGTTTGCCAGTAACCGAGCGAGATCCTCTTCCCAATTCCAAACAACTCACAAGAAGCAAATTTCAGGCTTAGAATTTAACAATACGTACATAACTGCTCCCATGTTAACATGTTAACCTGTAACTTGAGCACCTGTTTGTCAGGTAATTAGCCCAAACAATTAATTACCAGGCAGCTGCAGACAGGCATTCACTGCATAAGTCCGTAAACTTAACAATAAGTAGGTTACACTATCAATTTCCATATTCCAAATGCCAGTTTTTGGGGGGTAGCGCAACGAAAACTTTGCCAAACAGCAGCCCAACAAGACAAACGACTTGTGCACTGCTGCGGGGGGTGGCCCGCCCAATTGTCAGAGGGACGCAACGGGATTGGGTGAAAGCAACAGCAGCAAAATCTGTACGGGCTGCAGCGCATAGAACACGTGAGTTGTGCAACATTTTTGCAAAGTAATTGCTCATTTTGACAGCTCGTGCAACGCCCTTGTTTGCAGTTGCCGTTGAATGCTGGGCAGGCGAGGCGGGGCAGGTTGTAGCTTCTTTTAGGGTTTTGCCAGCCATCGGCTTGTTGCTTCCTGCCACTGGCAGCAGTGGCAGTAGCAGTGGAAGTGGCGGCAGCAGAAGCAGAAGCATCAACCCGCAGCAACCTGCAGCATCAACTTCGCGTAGTTCTTCACATGCGAGAAAGCAATAAAATCTTATAGTTTGTTTTTGTTCTCTGCTGCTGCTGTTGCTGCTGCTGCACATGTGGCAAGCCAACAACAACTGCAACAGCAACAACAATAACAACTACAACAACAACGTACAACGGTGACAACGACAACAATGACGACACTGACTACAGACTGTGCCCTATCACTGACAGGCTGTCAGTTGACAGCGCAGAGAGCGAGTCCGAGGTGTCCCCCACTTGTTGTCAACTGTGATGCTCCTTTGCTCCCTCGCTTCATTGCATTGCATACCCTACATTTCTATGTAAGTGCTCTTATAGAGAACGTCGAATGCATAACATGGTTTGAAATTGAAAAAATTTTGATTCAGACTATAATATTTAAATATTAAAATATAAAATAAATATAGCCTCATATTATTAGAGAAATGTATGCAATATTAGACGTATGAGCAACTTTTTTATTCTTAACTCAAATGAGTAGAGAGCAAAATGATTCCATAAGCCATAACATTTTTGTGATTAAGGATATCTGAATCGAAATTCCACCATCAGAAAATTAAATATAAAAATATGATCGTTTAAAATAATAAACATTTTAGTAAGTCTCAGCAAAAGTAGATTAAATCTTTAGTAAAAATCAAATTTAGCCCGCACTTGCTTCTGAAAATATATATGGCAAAAAATATTTTCGACACAACGGGCAATTGAGCATTTGAAATAATATATTTTGTGAAAATTTTACAAATTGATGTTTAATCAGGTTTCACAATAAAAAGCCTTGGCTTATAGATGTGCAAAGCTCGAGTCAAAGAAAGTTGGTTCGAGTCGTAAGTTGAGATACCCACGATTTTTTCAGTTTGCAGCCCAGTTATATAATAATATTAATAGTGATAACTATTTAACACATATATTACTTATAGCATGGGGCCTTAGGCAATATAAACAATTATGTGGAAGTCTGAAGTTTAAGAATTAGCACAAGAGTTGTTATTGCAGAGTACGAACGTTGGTCGGCTACTCCCTAACCGCCATCGACAATGCATTCTTTTGTTGACGCTTGCATTGTTGCTGCGTTTTAGTGCTACTATTAAATGCATTTCACAATAGTTGTCGATGGATTTGTTATTGTTAGCAATAAAATTAATATGCATGTTGGGACAACAGTTTTGATGACAGTCCGAACTGCGAAACATCAGCAACAACGGCAACATCGGCCACATCAGCGGCATGCAACGACATGCGGCGACATCTGTTTTGCATATCAGCGGTGCCATCGAATGGCAGCAGAAGCTTTTTTGCGTCTTTCATGGCAATTGCTGCTAGATTTGCGCCATGTAAACAGAATGTATTACTTTTTGCTGGAAGACATTGTCTGGCAGAGGATGCAGCGAGCCATCAGCATTCGTAGATGTATCTGTGCGTGTGTGTGTTGCCCCCTGACGAAACGCAGAATTTTTCTCAATTTAAACGCATGACACAACACAAAAGTGTCAGTCAGGCGGAGATGCAGAGAATCGAAGGGTAGGGGTGGTCCGTGTGAGGGGTTTGAGCACTTCATAGCAATCTGTCACAATCAATTAATTGCCATAGAAATATCAACAGAGCACATCAAACAAAACTGAGGCAAGGTAAACGGCACAGCGATGCCTATCCGTCAGATACAAGATACACTCGCACCAGATACAAGATACGAAACGTATGAGGCAGTCGCCTTTGGCTTTTATCAGCACGCACGATCACTTCAAAGGGGCAACGCAGAACCAGTGAAACGGAAGTGATTGCATTCACACCACACAGCTGGCCAAGTGGGGCAAATTGTGGTTGGGCCAGAGGCCACATTCAACTCATAGATCAGGCGGCAGTTCATTTGATCAGCGCTCGAACGCATTTAGCAGATACTTTCCGTTGAACATGTCAGGCCGATAATTTGATCATGTGTGTCAGCTTTATGCGCAGGTATTTACACATATATTTAAGAGATGTCATGTTGAGGTTAACTGGAATTCCCTAGCGACAGGCCCAGCCATTTGTGCTGCGAGGCGTGTTCGATATGAGATTCTACTAATTGATAGCGACATATTTTTGGGGCTATTTCTCCTTAGCCAAAGTGTATCAATAAATTTGTTTGCTGAAGGAATTCAGTAATTTAAATTAAAAAGCTTGACGAAAGGTTTATAAATGGAGTTGAAGGTGAGAAATGGGATAAGGAAACTCGGCATAAATTGCAGAACCCTTTGTTATAACCTAAAACCATAGTAAATGGTTTTATGCAAATGAATGCAGCAGGAAGTATCTCCAATCCCATAAAGTTTAAAGATATATTTTAATCAGTATCAATAGATGAGTCCATCTAGCCATGTCCGTCTCTTTTAATTTCTTGTATCGATATGATCGATAAGAAATCGGTATCGAAATCCTCTTTTTAGGGCAAATCTCTTTTTGTCACCAAAATTGGCATCCATCTATAAGGATAGTATATACATTTCGCGTATCTTTCGTTTTATTTCTATAGCCAACCTCACCCTTCGCCACGCCGACATAGCTATAAATCATTTGGATCTAGCCACCAATTAGCAACCATTTTAATGCTTTTGTCTTTTTAAGAATATAGGAATATTCTATCGCACAATAAAATCTACTGATGAAAATTTCATCCAGAAAGGCAAAGGAACAGAAAAGTTATTCAAGAGAACATGTGGTTATATTGGCAAGAACATGTGGTTGCGGCAACAAGCGCAAATTGCAAGGTTTTTTGTATGCATGTGCACACATACACACACAAATAGAATTGCTACTGCGTTTGTATCGCATACCGTGCTCTGTGTGTATGTTAAGTTATTTTTCATCAAAGTTAAATTCTTGATATGGCTACGGGGTTTGGGGCGGTGGCAACGTTGAATGCAATTGCGAGTTCGACTTCGGTACAAGGAACTCAATAGTAAAAAAAAAAAATATTTATTTGAGCTGTATTTAGTAGAAAGCTCAGGATATCCCCCAGTCAGACTCTTACTTCTTTTAATTTGAAATTTTTCTCATTTGCCAAAAAATATTGCATATAAGTCAAAATTTTCTTATTGCAATTAAAAACTGGCGGTTTCTCTTTAGAGCTCCAAGTTTGACTTCCCTGTTTGCATAAGAAAAGAGTTGAGGAATCATATATGAGATATAAATTGGGTAATAAAATAAGAAACTTCTGACGCGTTGCGATGAATTATTCCCGACCAACAGCATGTTCTGTTCCTTGCAAGATAAATTAAACTTTTATGGCATATGAGCTAAAAGTTCGCTAATGAAACAAGAAACTCAATTTACGCATGAAGTTATTTTCTTATGCTTAAATGAAGCTATATTTAAAGTTTCACTTTCAGATAAAGAAGACTTTTCTTTATTGAAATATGCATTGTGAGATACTCTGCTCCTAGCATGCAAATAAATTAAATACAACCTATGCCAACTTGGGCTTGGCATAAGAATTTTGGGTTTTAAGTTTTAAAGAGCCTACTCAATATTCATAATGTTATATTTATTGCCTTCAAATATGCTCCCTTGCCATTTGAGAAACAGAGCACAAATAAATTTCATTAAAAAATTGGAAATTGCAACAGAAATGCATTTTTAACCATAAATAATACGTTGACAGTTGTAATTTTCGAAAGTAATCAAGTGTAGCTAATTAACAACAGCAACTGCAGTTCGAGTCAAGTCGCAAAAGGTGCGCACTTCAAATGGAGGGCGTGGCAAGCAGCTAACGATGCGCCCCCCATATGATGAGCAATGGATAACGTGTAGAGAGCTGGCGACCCCAGCGACATGTCGAGCATACAGTAAGTCCGAAGTCTGCGCTAATGAGAAAAATATGACACAATTGTAATTATCTTTGTAGTAAGGTTGACGTTGCCTGGTCTTAACATTTAATACCAATATGACAGACCCAGGATCCATGGCCAGAGCCAGAGGCAGAGCCAGTGGCAATGGCAGTTGCAGTATGTGTAAGATGAATGAGCATGAATTATAAACACATAAAAAACAACAATGCGAACAACTCGGTGCTGGCCAGTGAAAATAGTTAGTTGCTGCTCGAAGCTGTTGTTGCTGTTGTTGTAACTGCAGCTGACATTTCAGTTAATTTTGATGTATGTGCCCGGGGCCGGAGGGGGCGTCGCCCATACAAGAGGATGTAACTATGGCTATGTGTGGGTTCCCTAGTACTGAGCACCGAGCACCGAGCACCACCGAGCACCACCGAGCATCGAGCCCGGAGCTGTTGTTAAACCAAACGGATTTCCACTCGAGGCTGGGGGAGAGAAGGGCCAGCAACGAACGCTTGAAATAACAATAACAACTATGCACAGGAATGATATGTGGGCTCGTAAATGTTCACGTGCAAGCTGCTACACCTGCCGCTTAATTATGAACAGGTAAGAGAGTGGCGCCTCTCGCTCGCACCCGCACTGTGCTTCAAAGTAGGCGCCATAAAGTTTCATTAAGCGTGACGTGTTTTATAATTTTTGTAATCCAAACCGCCCCCGAAGCAACTATCAAAGAGCCGTAACTGATTAACTAAATGCACATAAACATGAAAAACAACATGAAAGCGAAAGGAAACCGAGAAAGGGAGAGTGCACAGGCCACAGGACATAGCACCGAGGGCAGAGGGAGCGCCACGCACGAGTAGCAGCATCCCAGCAGCAACCCCTGTTAAAAATGATCTATGTTCTGGCACTGGAGTTGTGAAAAATATGAGTAAATTTTTGCCTTGTTTTCATGGGAAAATTGTTTCAGAAAATTGTTTCGGGCGTAAGCTATGCGGTTGGTCCTCAGTTTCTGCCAGTCTGTGGGTGGCAATATCCTGCTTCTTGCGAGCCGCAGCATTACTTGCTATTTTAGTAGAATTCCGGGGCTAACAAAGTGTTGTGTCACTGCGGCACTCAGGCGTATGCAGTAGGATCTTTTGGGATCATTTAGTTGGGTGAGAATGCAACTAAATGAACTACTGCTCATGACTTCATCTACAAGAAACAATGCACGGTTGAGATGTTTATCGGTCAACTGTGACCAAAACTAGCCATTTATGCCCCATGGACTTAGTTTCCACTAGCACAATAGTTAATCTTTCGAAATCCATTGGGAAATAAAATTCAAAATAAGAAAATTGCATTGAGCTCAAAACATTTTCATTTCGGTGCCACAAAATAAGACGTCGTTGGCCCAAATATCAAGCAAATATTCTCATAAATTTAACCCATAATCTGCCAACATTTTGTTGTTGAACAATTTTGCAGACACATGAATTCGAATCCGAATCAGAAACAGAAACAGAATCTGTGATGTGTTTACACAAGAGACTTACACGAAAATCGAAATGCAAAGTGAAAATTTCAAATAGGAAATTTACGAGGCATCCATCCAACGATTTCTCACACTGTTTATCATAAAAAAGATTCGAAAGGAGCGAACGAGCAAGAGCCAAAAATCAGTGAGAAAACTGGGCAAATGTTTACACAAATTACATTTGCTGTGAACCACCTCGGCTACCCGGAGCCCCCGGAACACTGTGCTGTTGGCATATTTGAGCGGCTACCGTATTGGAAAATAAACCAATTGCCTTGTGCATCTGAAAGATACAGATACAAATGCACAGACAGGACGTGGGAAGCGCGCAAACATGCCCAGACTGACAGGCAGAGTATGTCAAGCGATAATATTTTTCCAGCACAGCTTGTTATATGGGAAATATATATATATATACATACAGACATATATACTAGAATATATTTAAATGTATCTATGTATCTATTGGTACGTACCAAAGGCAAAGGCAAAGCGGATTGAAGGTGTTAAATGGGCATGAAACAGCTGCATTGCGACGAGGACGAAAGGACAATCACCAAATAAACATGCACACAACGATAACATACACACACTAACACGTCCTCGGTAGCTCCGTGCCCCGCCTGCTGTCCTGCGGAAAAAGCTCAAAGGACATGTACAAAATTTCCCAATTGGTAATGCAGGCGGGGCACATTGATCGGTTCTGTAACGGCACAGGACAACGGGACATATGTAAATACCAATTTACGCTACGAAATGTCAACAACTATGATTACAATAACAACAACAACGAGGTGAACACCAACAAGGGTTGAACCTATGCCCCAGGGCCTCATCTTAACCCTTCATGTGCGTGTAGGCAGCTCCTCCCATGTTTAATTTAAATTTTTCCATAATTTTCCATTCGATCAGCAGCAACTGACCAGACAGGCCCTATATAGAACGCGCACACACACCTTTTGGGCAGCCGGCCACACCCCTGCAACCCCCTGCTGAGTAGTTGTGACCCAAATACAACTAATTGACCATGACGTAATTAGTCAACTATTGAAAATTATTCGCAGGGTTGTTGTTGTTCTAGTTTTGCTTTATATTTAATGGGCCTGGGAAAATGTACTTAGCTCATGGGAAATGCATTTAAATGCCCAACCACAAACTATTATGGAAAACCTCAGCCTATTGGCAGGCGTTTTCAATTTGTTATGGCCTCGAGGCCAATAAGTTGCACAAAATGTTTTTCGCATGCTCTTTGATCTCAAACGCATGGTGAGATGAAAATAATTGAAAGAAAAGTGTGAAAAGAGCAGAAAACTCTGAATATTTTCCAACAGCATCTATTAAAAGAGATTTGCAAAAAAAATATATAACAATATAACTGCAAATAACAAAAAAAGGACTCGAATATAAAACACAATTTCCGCTCATTTAAAAGGCTTATATAAATACACTAAATTTATTTTTTAAAATGTTATTAAAATAAAATTAAGTTTTGAACTATGCATAAAATTAAAGTAGACCCATTTATTGATTATGAATGCTTAACAATTCAGCCAGCTAATAATTTTATAAAAAAATTATTAAAAACTGATTAATTAAATTGTATTTTTGCAATAATCCGGAATTTCAAATTATGCGAAATATAGCATGCAATTTAAATAAACCATAAATGAATTATAATTGCAAGCACAAGTGCAAATTACAAAATTGTATACAATTTATAATTCAAATTAATTTCAACACAAAGCTGGACCTCATCATTCAGTGGCAATCGCATTGCCGCTGGCAGCTGTTGCTTATTAAATGCAGCACATTTGCCATGGGCAACAAGCAGCTACAAATCTCTTAAACCGAAAGGCAACACCCACAACAGAGAAAAAAATTTAAGCAAGAAAAAGATACAGTTTGAAGCCAAGGAAAATCCCATTACCAAAATGAATTTATGCACATTTCAAAAAGAGTAAACAAACAACAAAAACAACAAGCTGAGCGCTAGAGCTGAGATACCATGACCAGGATGACGACGTTGAGGATGATGATGTTGATGGGTTACTGCTGCTGCCACTGCCACTGCCTTTGCTACTGCCACTGCTGCTGCTGCTGCTACTGCTGGAAAACTGCAAAGATGAAACACTGCAGAAATGGAAAACTGTGCATGCTGTGAGGTGCTCTGTCTCCGAGTCTCTGTTTGTTTTTGCTGTTGTCGAGAGTTGAATAACAAATTGCCAGAGAAAACTAACTAGACCAAATATTTATTTTTTAACACGTTAATCTCACAAATCCCCCTGAAGTGCAAGAGCAACAACAACACCAACAACAACAACAACAACAAACCACACCACAGTTGTCTGTGTAAACAATGTGACACCAGATACGCACCACAACCGCAATGAGTTCGAGTTTTTCAAAACTTTTTCCACAGATTTGTAAATCATCGTCGTGTCGGGGCATAGTTTTTGACTGGACGCAGGAGTCTATACAAACAGTAGCCCAGGCCCAAGTGCTGGCCATAATCAGCCGCAGGCCCCTCACAAAACCAGAGCTGTCACCACTTGAGTTCCCCAGACTCCGGACCCGACGCGTCGCCTCGTCCATTCCAGACCCAAACTCCGACTGCACTTTTTCTCATGAAATGTGACGCAGGCGTCGCGGCCTGGTGACAAAAATGTCGCGACCAAAGGCGATGGCAAAAAATATTACAAAAAAAAATTAATACAAGCCTAGGATTATTTTTTCTTACAACGAAGATGGAATACCTTTGAAACGACATGAGATATATATGATTTATATGGCCCCTTTAAAGGTTAGACCACATTCATCAAAACTACGCAGGTTCTGGATGAAATATGTTTTATATTTTTAGACAAAGATTAAACTCCTGGAGCGAAAAAATGTTAACTTTTGAAATTATTTAATGCAAGCTATAAATAAATTCTTTACTGAATAGTTTCATTTGCTTAAAGTAATAAACTTGTAGATTAAATGGAGCTCTTTAAAGTGTTGCAAACTTTGCCTTTAGTCTACAATCATTTGAATTTAGTCAGAGAATACTTGGAATTATAGCTGTAAATTCAATTTGTATGAAAAGGCAACAGAAAAAGGCAAAGTATGTATTTCTCCTTTTTTAGCCACTCGACAACGACGCCTCTTCTGGGCCTGTCCAACTCAACTGTCAGGCGTCGACGTTGAGGTTTCTGTATGCGAGTGTGCGTGTGCGTGTGTGTGTTCTTGTGCCTGTGTGTGTGTGTGTGTGGTCCGCTCTTGACGCGGTTCAAGTGCCTGCAGCGCGGCCCCAAAAGGAAACAACGGAAGCAACTCGATGGGTGGGCTAACTGAGATTTGGGGGCGGAAATCTCTATACAATTGTGTGCATTCCATATTGAGAGTTGGACAATGCGCGAGCTTGTTAATTATGATAACCGGGCATTGGAGCTGGCCCCAACACAATGGCCAACATGTTGTAAATGCAGAACAGTTGCTAATTAGCTGGTTACTAAAAGCCTGCTCCTAATTTGCAAGCTCTTAAGATATCCAACAGCGAGTCGGACACGAGCTGCTTCATTAGCGGCCATTAGCGAAAACTAAATTTCCGACTTGCTGAGGAAGATGAAACACATGCCAAAAACGAAACAAAACTAACTAAAACGAGCAATTCAAACAGAAACCCATTGGAACGCCGCAGGTGATTTCTGCTCCATCACAAAAAACAACAAAAGCCAAGCCCGGCCGAAACGCAGAGCAAAATAAAACACGCAGCAATATAATTAAGAGCCTCAAGTGTATTTAAATAAAAAGTGAGGGGGAAAAAAACAAAAACTTTAAGACGCGTCATAAAGGAATTGGGCTTGAGTCTGAAATGAGTCGATTGGCAGGCAGCTGTTGCTCTGGGTAGGCTTTTGTTTTAAATTCACGCAAAAAGAACCCCATGGAGCCACAAAAACGAAAACAAGACAGAAAAAAAAGGAAGCGAATCAGCGAATTTCGGCAAGCTGCAAAATTTTTGATGAGCTGCACAAGAAATTAAAGGGCATATTAAAAGGTGAGAATACAAGAAAATACACTTTAGAATTAATATTAAATTTAAATAATAAATGGAAAAATTAGAATCAAAATTAGTGTTGGCTTACAAACGTCAAGTGCTTGCGCTGCCTTGACGTTTACTTTTAAAAAGTAGTTTTTTATCATCATGTAAAATAAATAAATTTAAAAAATATTAACACCATAAAATAACGCAAGAAACTGATTGCAAAACTCATTTATAATCCCTTTTAGTATCTGGTAAAAATAACATATTTTTTAAATACCCTGCACATGCTAAATCAGCTGAACATCTACAACTTAATGCAAACGTGTCCACATAATGGGAATATCCCACTATTTGCAGCGCCCCAGATTATTTTGATGGGCCGCCAGTCTTAGCGACTTTTGCTGTAAATATCGAAAAAATGATGGCACAACGTTTTACGCAGCGGGAGCTGTGCACTGGGAACTGGCAACGAGGCTCCGCTGTGTGGCACACCTACCCCGGGTGTAGAATTCCCCTTCCAATATATATGTATGTATGCATATGAAGATATGCCAGCTACGCACACGCGAATAACTCGCATTCACATTGTCCATATAGCCCCATAGCCGCGCACTCCGTAGGCCCTAGGTATGGCCGCGTGCGTTGCGTGTGATGTGCGTGAAATGCAACTAAATCATGCCGCGAAATATTTCAGGGATTTAAGAAACGCATACAAGAGAAATGAGGCAAGAGCTGAAAACTGAAGGGCATGCAATAAGAATACAAGAACGCGCGCCCCGCCAGGCGGCAGATGGCCAGGAACGGACCGTGGACGGACCACAAGTTGCTGCTTGTTGTTGTTGATAACTTAAATGCCACATTTAGATACAAAATTTCAGTAAAGGCGGCGCATAAATCAAGCGGCAAGATCACCAGAGGCTGGCCCCAGACTCGGCGGAAGCAGGGGGCGTTGCTGGAGACGAAGAACGAGAAGACGAAGTCGAGCCGCGCCGGTCGGGAACCGGGAACCCATCGAAACTGGAAATGGTAATGCAACTGCAACACGATCGCCAGTCGGCGGAGAGAGGGGCACAGAAACGGAAGTAAGACGCAGGGCAGACTCTTTATAAGAAAGAAGTGCTATTCAAATGTGTCCCGTGCGTTTAATTATTATCCATTTTTTTATTTATTTATTTTTTTTTATAAGCAGCTCCCCCAAGACAAATGGAGCAAAGGGGTGCTGGTAGCCGCTTAGTCAGAGCTCTTTATCATCATTCGTCGCCCTCGTCGACGTCATTTGACACTTTTCTGACATTTTTATCATTTAAGTCACATTCAGTTTTTGTTTATTCTCGATCAGACAAACAAAGAACCGACTTTAGCTGCCTTATGACAGCTTTTCAGGGCCGTATTTCCTCCTCCCTCACCTCCCCTAACATATAAAGATATTTTATTGTTGCCCAATTCAGTTTGTATCTATGCTTTAATGAAAGTGTTGAGTTTTAGTTTTCGTTGCGCTTTTTAATTGTTTGTTTATAGTCAACGCATTCGGGGCGCGCTCGTTAAGAGCCCCATGATAAATTGCCAGACGTGGAATGAAAAGCCATTCAAAATACACCATTAAAAATTTGGTATAAAATCCTCCGGCTGTGCACTACTCAAATTGATTTAAGTTGCCAGCGTTGTTGAAACACGAACATCTATAAAAACTTACAGTTACCTTAAACAACTCTATTAAAACGTGCACTGGGAATGGGAATGGGAATGCCCGACAGTACCAACGGCAAACATTTCAAAACATTTCCTCAATGAGTTCTCTTTTATGAGCTGAGGGGTATTTAAATAAAGGAACAGTTCCAAACAGATATTCACAAATAAAATGTAAGTACTGACTAAAGTGCGCAATGGAAAAAAGGGGAGACAGAGAGAACGGGCAGGGAACATTTTAGTGATTCAATTGATTTGACTTTTCGATTGAAATCTAGCTACGTATTCAATATATTTTGCAGTATTTAGTTAAATAAATGCCATAGCATATAGCATTTTATATATATATTCATATCATTTCATATCAGAGATTCAATTGTGAAGCATTAACTATACATATTAATTTAAGTAAGTGTACTTTGCTCTACAATGCACTAGATTTAGATATGACGAACTGGTTCCAGGCCAAAACTTAAATTGTGAAGCATTGACTACACATATAATTTTAATCGAGTGTGCTATGTTCTACAGAGCACTGAATTGATTTCTGTGATCAGTTTGAATCTCTAACGTTCTCAAACAAATGTAGATAGATTAAACAATGTAAGGATAGTAGAGAAAATTAACTAAGCTAATAATCTACAATGTACTAAATTGATTTCTGTGCTCGAGTTCTCAGAAGTTCAACCACCAGCGCAAACTGCAGAAAATTATGCGTACTTATAAATCAAATAGCCTAACAACCTGGCCACTATAATTATGGGAAATTTATAAAAAATTACATAATATTTACAAGATGTTATCGAGGCTAAGTATAGGCCAGACAGACAGCCAGATAGAGCCAGACAGCTGCGACCGGAGTTAGCCGAAGTTAATTTGTCTATTAAGCGCCGTCGGGTCGTACCTTTCTCTGAGAGCGTCTCCGAGAGTGGAAAACGGCAGCCAAATGCAGTCAGACAAAAATTTGTAAATGAGTCTAATCAGTCAGCCAAAAGGGTAAGCCTATAATTTGGTAATTACGAGGAGTTGCTGGCCAAAAAAAAAAAAAAATAAAATAAAATAGAGGAAGGAACATTGGGTGGACGAAAAATGAAGGCAATAAGTCAAAAAACGGTTGCATGCAATGCATAATTTTTGGTATTTATATGATCTTCAAGCAGCCTGCAGCCTGCAGGTATAATTAGCAGTTCCAAATTAGCTGCCCGCTGTTCAGCGCCAGACTTTGGTGGTTGCTTACGCTTACCTGAGGTTGACGCTCAGCCGAGCTGCTCCGCCAAACGGTAGCCGGCCAGTTTCCGTTCCAGTTATGTGAGTGAGAGATGCAGTCTTTATAGAGACATCAACAGCTGTAGCACTTTTGACATTTTGATTTGTGGTTTTCCGAACCGCGCATGTTGCTGAAGATGAACATGTTTATGACTGCGCCATGTGGTTGACTGAATCTAAAACGTGACCAGCGAAAAAAAAAAAGCCATTACATAAAAACCAATAGCAAAAGAAATAATTAAAAATTGTTTAGAAATATACTAGAAACCACAGAATTTATTTAGCAAATGACAGCAGCAGTTGTAACCACAAAAATACCTTCCTTTGTTTTATTATGTATATATTTAAACATGAAGCAATGCCAAAGTTCAAAGAACCGCCCAAGGGACGAACTTGACCAACAGAACATGTCCTCCTTTATGACCTATTTTGGTTTATTTCTGGGAACCTTTTTTTTCTTTTACTTTTTTCTTTTTTAAATAGCTCACGCGCCTACGCTTTGTCGGGGCACACGCTCACGCACTCGGACGCTTTATCTAAAAAAAATATTTACTTGTCAGACCGAATTTGTAAGCCATTTTCAAAATACAAAAGCCCCTGCCCCTATCCATCCACCCCACGAGGAGCACTCCCACATATGCTGTTGTCGTCTTTGTCAAATTACTGTTTAACTTTTATATGGTGTTTCGTCGTATTCTGTCGCATAGCTATTTATATATATATAAATACATCTCGATTTTCTTTTTTCCTTTTTTTTTTTTTGTAGCTTTTGCAGCTTATTTCTTTGGAATTTTTCGGCTGTTCGGCATGTGACGCAAATGTGACATAAAATTTTAGGGTAGAACATCCCTCATACTCCTCTCACAATATGGCGCTTCTCTTGCCAAAGTTGTTGTTGTCTTTGTTGTTGTTGTTGCATGTTATGTTGCGTAATTGCTGCAATCTGTGGGCCTCTCATTGGAGTTGGCGTGTGTGGCATATAGCAAAGCTATTGGGGCCTTGGCACATGTTGTCGCAACAGCTTTTAAATTGTTATTGATTGGCAAAGCAGAACCGAACAGCTATGGGAGTATGTGACATGTTTTGGGCTTTATAAGTGCTTGAAACGAAAGCGAAAACAAACAAATTATTATGTACATTCAAAGCATACCAGAAAATTAGGCTACCAAAGTAGGTATGCATGTATCCAGCAAAGGGCGAGCAATGTTATGAACATATTCCTAAAGATAACTGAGGACCACAGTACAGAATTAATAGACAATGGAATATAATATGCAGCTAGTGGAACTTTTTCAGGATTTTCTCGGGATCTTTACAAGCTTCCAAGGGAAAAGTGTTTATAGCCAAAAAAGCTTATAGGTACAGGAACTGCCAACTGCCTGGCATATTTAAGCTTTAAGTACAGCTCTTAAAGAGGGTTTTTGGGTCACGCCGAAACTCAAACTTGCCATAAGCCAAAGGACAATCTGTTAACGAAGAATCCTCGCAACCAGAGAGAAGCCCGAAGTAAAAAAAACGTTTGTATTATTGCAACTGAAATTTCTGACAACAAGATAACTCAGGATTATTTCAGGATACTTTCAAACTTGCAAGCGAAATTTGTTTATGCTCAAACTAGCTCCAATATGTATTTTCAGTGTACAACTTTTTATGCATTATAAAATTTGCTGTAAAAGCCAAATTAATGAAACTGCGAAACTATATTTCTCTCAGGCCAACATAAAACCTTAACGATTATTAAACATTAAATGGCAATTTTCGCTATCGGCCAGCTGCAGTGCATATTACACATGTCATATGCATGCGTCTGATCAAAGAAAAATGAACAGAGCCCAGGAGAGCGAAAAGGCGCCCAAAGCGCCTGACCAGGGCCACTGCAATGCACTTTTCTTATCTAATTGCATTTAAAGTCAATAAATTAATAAATAGCAAGCAATAAATTTAGTAAAAACAAGCCATTAATAACACTTTGGTTGACACGACAACAGCAAAGCCAGCGAGACTCGCTGGTCATGTCGGTGGCTGCGGCTGGCCTGGCCTGGGCTGGTATGGTCAGGTCGTTTCGGGTCGGGTCAGATCTGGTCAGGTCAGCCAGGCGGAGCCAGCGAGTCGCCAATAGGTCGGCGACATGTGCGGCAAGGGGGCCAGCGCTGCCAAGTTGAAAAATTGAGCGCGTTGTGTTTTTGTCAACAGCGGAACTAGCGGAAATTCTAAGAAAAATGCACAAATTGTTTAATGCCGTAGCCAAGCAGCAATTCGTTGCAGTTCGTTGAGTTTTCACATGCATCCATCAAAAAGTTTGAATTAGCCCCCTTGTTGTGGCTAGATTGTTGTGCCTAGGTGTGGGCGATTTGTATTTTGGTCTGACAATGCAGCGCAATTAAATTTTAAAACTATTTAAATCAGCGCGCGTTAACAATTGAAATTTTTATTGGAAATTAAATTTGATGAGCCTGCAGCCCGCATGGCATCAATCCTCGGCACACGAATGACGGAACCCAACGCGTGCCACTTCCCATTTTAAAACCAAACCCAAAATGCCAACTGTTTCGAATAATTTGTTTAATTGAAAAATCGTAAAATACCATTTTATGTTCTTTTTTTCTCCAAATGTATTTTTATGATCTGCGCAATTGACAATTACGGCTATAACTGAAATTTATGCTGCAATCATGTTAAGCCCTTTATTATTGACTTTGACTTCTACTATTGATGCCATTCGAAAAGAAAATTGTATTTATAAGTATATACACACGGCGTTTATGAGTAACAAATGGCTTTTGATAAATAAAATTCAAAAATATTATATAAATAATATGTGTATATACAATTCAAATGTGCTGCCTCTAAGGTCATCATGGCCTTACTCTGCACAGCCAATTAAATCAGCTGAGTTTATTCCTGACTTCAGTGAGGACTCGCAGCCAACGCAGCACGTATCACATTTAACTAGCCAGAGTCAGGGGATCGGCTACCAACAAAGTGCGTAGGCAATCAGCCTCCGCAGTGTAGGATAACTTGGAAGACCACCGGCAAACCACAAAAATGCTCGCTACTAAAATATGTGTGTGTGTATGTGTAAAAATGGCAGAAAAAGTAGGAAAAGTGGTGAAATGATGTGGGATACGTGTGTCTATCTAACTTGCTGACTGACATGCCGACTGTCCAACTGACTGACTGACTGACTGAATGACTGACTGTCTGTATGTCAGACGAACGACCGACGAAGTGCGTTGCAGAGACAACAAATAGCTTTTGGACACGCAATGGGAAATTTATGTTAGATAATGCTCGGGTGCCTCGTGCTAGTCTGTGTGTGTATGTGCTGCCGATCCAGAGATAAAGTTTCAAATTAGTTTTCTGGCTGGTAATTAAATTTAATTTTTTTATTAGGCCAACCACACAGAACAATGGGCATTAAAGCGAAATGGCTTAAATAACTGCTGCCAGTTTAAAGTAGAAGTTAAAAGCAGTTACGAACTTTTTAATACAAATAGAATAAACTAAACTATAGTCCCTGATAACTAAATTGACTTGGTGACCAAGTCATTCGGACAACTGGACACAAGAATCCGATTTCTCAGGTGCAAATAATACTAAAGATCTTAGAAGTTAGACTATTTAAAAATATAGCTTTAGATTTAAGAAGATACTCCATTGAGTATCATCATATAGAAATAAGTAGTATATAATTATGTACTCAAATATATATGAAACAATATACAATTACTATATGACAATTTTTGTAGTCCCCTTCTTCGTATAGGATAAGATAAGATGCTCAAATTATCCTAATGCAAAATCAACATTTTCTTAACTTTTGTTAATATTACGATTATTCTGCACGTTAGCCACATTTCCAATTTGACTTATTTGCATACCCTAAAAGCTTTCGGCTGTAGTTGGCAGCAAGGAGGCGCCTCAATTTGATTACCATTTGATTCGTGAACTTGCAGCTCGGCTGTCAGTTTGGTTGACTTGATGACTCGCATCGATTTCTTGATAGATTGATTGATGACTGAACGATGTGCAGGAACTGGAGCTGCCAACTGTCGGGCGTAAGTAAGTAAACTTTAAGCACAGCTCTTAAAGTGGGTTTTAAGGGCCACGCGGAAACTCGAACCTGAGATAAGCCAAAGGACAACCTGTTAACCCAGAAACCTCGCAACCAAGAAGCAGCCCTAAGTAAAAAGTTCTTTTGTATTATTGTAACTGAAATTTCTGACAGCAACACGAAAAACTTCCAGCCAGGTAAACACGGAAAACAAACGAAGCGGATAAAACAATATCGGGAAAAAAGCCAAAATAAAAGATGCAGCTGGGGCTGCTGGAGCAGCAGCAGCCGCAAAAAAAATAAAAGGAACCTAATAAAGTAGCAAACAAATTGGAGCACATACATATCCGAGAGACAGAAAATAATCCAAAGGCAGGCAGGCTGGCTACCCGGGCAACTTATGATAAAGTGCGAGAAATTCCTGAGGTTGTCTCCTCGAGGAGGGCGCCGCAGGTAATTGAAATAAGCGTGGAAATTTGTAAGGCTCAAAAGTTGAAGGGAAAAGCTTTTTGCCTTGTCTTATTTTATATTAAGTTTTTTATTTCACTGAAATGTATGCGTGTCTATTAATTATGATTTTGGGTCTGTTGGGGAGCCCAGCTGAGCGCCCACCTGAGTAGGAGGCCTGGATAATAAATTCAATTTAAATGAAGCGTAAAATTCAATCAGGTCGTGGTCGAGGTTCAGGTCGAGATTGGAGTTTGAGTTCAAGTTTGAGGTTGAGGTTGAGGCTACTGCGGCTGCGTCTGTGGCTTCTTAGGTGGTAAATTGTTTTGGTCGAGCCAAGAGCCCTCGACAAATTCTGCGAAATTAAGGGCAACGCAACGCAGCAATAAAGAAGTCAATTTATATAAATTTTCCACTCGCCAGGTCTCAAGACTCGGCATCGCACTGCGGTCTGTATCTGAAATGCAATTTACGAACTGTGCCCGGCTATTGTTTTCCTTTTCTTTCAGTCATTGTGCGTCTGTGTTTCAAGTGGCTTTTCTTTTCGTTTTCCTTAACATTTTCTTTTGTGTAATATAATTTCAAATTAGGTAGCATATGTTTTGCGGTCGAGAGATGCCCGCAACCGGGACAGTCAGTATTCAATCAAAATGATGTTGTTTTAATTTCAAAACC